AATGATCAGAAAGTATGAAATACAAAACTGAATCTAATATTCAATTAATCAGTTACAAAATTACTTCACTATTTTTAGAGCTCAGAGGGAGATAAACAGCAGTGATCAGCACGGCAGAGAAACCTCTGTAGGTAGAACGGTCGACACTTTACGTTCAACAACTCCACTACTGGTGAGCAACAGTGTTGTGACACTGATACCCCCACACACTCAGTACATACATATATATGTATAATAACCAACCCCAAACTTAGGAAATGAGCTTTGTGAAAATTAACATAGTTAAAGATTCAAATAAATTTACCAGGTTACACATGTTGGGACTTATTTTATTTATTTCAGTTCAGTTCAGTTCAGTTCAGTTCAGTTTGGATCAGTTCAGTTTAGTTTAGTTCAGCTCAGTCAGTGGGTTTGAAGGATAATATGAGCTGTACCTGTTTACAGGAGACAGATTACAGATTTACATCTGCCAGAAAACAAAGAACTAAACTGACCTGATAGGAAATAAAGACGACAGATGGTTTTTATTATTCAGAATCAAACTCTCTGTTTAATAAGAGACACTTGTTCAGTTGATCTTGGTCATTTGTACTCTGTGTACAGTGACAGGAWATTCTACATCCTTTTCCCACCTATTTGTGAACCCAGCCACCACAGTGCAGATAGGACTATTTACCTTTAAATTTGTGAAGAAGCCACAGATTGAACATAAAACAAACGGTGCATGTCATCTGAATCAGGCAGTCATGATACTGACAGCATGTAATCCTACATTTAAAACTTGTGTGATGTAACAACAACAGTGAGCGTTTGGATGAAATGCTCTGACGGTGGTGACTGCTGSTTGTGTAATTAAATGAACCCAGTCTGCAGAGAGTAAGCAGTTAATTTATTAACAGAAATAACTTGCTGTCGTTGCAGCTCAGTACTTACAAACAGGTGAGGAGACTCCACAGGGACGCTCGGGCGAAACACAAGGAACAYTCAGGAATGTTTTGGGGGAAACACAGGGGAGAAGAACAGAATATAGAGGGAAGGCTGATGAGCTACATCACAAACACCTGGGGGAGAGAGGAGGTGAGCAGGTGAGTGTGGGCGGGGCAGGAGCACAACCAGACAGGGAGAAAACACTGGGGAGCACACACTAATCAGGAGAACAACACAAGTAACACAACTGAAACACAAAGACCACAAACTGCAGAAAATAAAATAATGATACAAAAAAATTAAAAAATAAAAAACTCAGGTGCACCTCAATGTTTTAAATATTCAAACCTTAATGTCACCATTAGTTTAGGTTTACATGGCTGTTTTGACAGAATTATAT